GTTTAATGGACACCAATAATGAATTCAAATCATTATATAAATAAAAAAGTTTATTAAAATGTCTTAAAGTAAGTTTTACTTTAATTATTTACTAAACATTGACGCTTTTATTTATTAAAAATAGAAGTTCTTAGTGTTTAGTTAGAAAGTTTCTATCAAATAATAAAAACTGGGGTAAAAATATTTTTAAAAGAAATTTATCTTTGAATTCTATTAAATTGATTAGGACTGTAATTAGTTACTGATGGTATTTTGTTAAAGATTTGTTCTACATTAATATCACACTGATTACCTAAAAATTTTCTTATTTCATCAGCAGGTAAATTCTTTTCTAATAATTTATCAATCTTATCAAAAAATCCTCCTTTCTTTATTGCGTTCTTACTAAACTCTTCTTCACTACCAAAATGTGGTATCATTGTTTTAGGAATATAATTCATACAAAGTCTATGAAGTCCCTTATTTTGAATAGTGTTTCTTCCTGAAGATAATGAAGATCCTGAATCAACTGACTTTTTATATAATTCCATTGGTGTCATTTGATCAATATTAATAGTCTCTTTTTTCTTTGGAATGGAAATCTTTTTCACTGTTATTGGTTTCTTAATTACAAATTTCTTATTTGGATTGTTTTCAATGCCTTCAATTACATCATTTTGATCATCAACTTTTTTAAACTCTTCTTTCTTTAAATTTTCAATTGTTTTTGTTTCTAATACTTTTCTCTCTCTGTTATTTTCACTAATCAATTTTTGTTGATCTTCTACTTTTTTATATGCTAGTTTTAGTTGATCACACACTTTATTATTTGTTACCTTTAATTGATCATTTTTTACTTTTAACTGATCATTTTCTACTTTAAAATCTTTTATTGTCAGGTTATTTTCTGATATTATTTTAGTTAATTCATTGATTTTCATATTCAGACTATTAATAATTTCATCTTTACTTTTTATTTCTTCAGTATATTTAACTCTATCCTCGATACTTTTAGTAACTGCTTCTTCTAATTTAGTCTTCATTTCTGTTATATAAGCATTGCTACTTTGCAATAAATCTTGATGTGGTTTTAGTGCATTCATTATAACATCTTTTAAAAGATTTATGTTGTTTAGGTTTTCTCTAGCATCTTCTAACATTTTATATCCAATTTTTCTTCTCTTAACTACATTAAAGTCTTGATCAAGTTTTCTTTTAGAATTTTTAACTTTCTTTGCTGATTTAATTTTAACTTTTCTTATTTTATTAGAATCCGTTGTTGTTTTTAATTGATCTGATTTAGTATTTATTATAGAATTATTTTCATTTAAAGACATTTCTGGAACAACATAACTAACTAATGTTGATGAAAATTGAATAGGATTAAATTCTTCTTCTTTATTTTGTTCATTGTTATTTATACTTATTATATCATCTTCTATTAATTTTAATTCAATAATATCATTTTCTTTATTTTCTTCTATTAAATCCTCTTTATTTTCTTCTATTAAATTTTTTTCTATTAAATTCTCTTTATTTTCTTCTATTAATAATTCCTGTTGATCTTTAATATTATTACTTAACAAACTTAATCTATTTAATTCTTTTAATCTCTCTAAATAATTATTAATTATCTTATCACATTCTTTTTCATACTTTTCTATTATATTTTTCTTAAAGGTCTCTATCATTAAATTTATGAGGGAGAATTTTTATTAAAAATAAATCAAATAAAAACTTAAATTGAATGAGCCTCATTTAAAAATTCAAAAATTTTTTCTATTAAATTTTTACAGATGAAAATCCTTAAAGATTTATTCGAAGATCTCTTTGAGGTGGATTTTGATGAAAAATTAATTTATATTTGTATAAACATAGCTAAAGTATGTGGTTATTTATTAGTAATTGTAACTAAAATTGTAGATTGTAGTATATTTATACTTATATTAAGTAATTTTATTTTATTATTATTAATGGCTTTGTATGTTACTGAGTATGTTTTAGACTTTTTTAATAAAAGAACTGATAATCAACCTTTCATACAAAAGTAT